TGCTGATTATTATTATAAATTCAGCAAACCTACTAATTTTTCACTTATTTAAATAATGCAGTAGTTTTTTTTTTTTAAATTAAATTAAATCAATTTGCACTGAAAAAAATCACACAATTGGAAATCTCAAGGAATAGATAAAATACCTAACTTTTGACTATTATCTAAATACAGCACACAAAAATCTAGCCAAATAATTGAAAAAATGATCAATGATCCTACTAAAATTCGGGCATTGGTAACCAAAGGAATTGTCTTCATCTACCTAAGAATGGTGACACAAATGTCCCCCCCCCCAAAAAAAACTACAGACCAATCACATGTCTTTCCACTACTTGTAAACTGTTGACATCTATTTTGACAAAACAAACATATTCCTTCTTAGAAAAAAATTACATACTACCTCTTGAACAAAAAGGGTGCAAATATGGCTCTTACATATATAAAGACCAATTACTTATTAATAGGATGATCTTGGAAAACTGCTTCAATATAAAAAAAAAATTCAGTACTGCCTGGATAAATTACCATAAGGCATTCGATAGTGTAACCCATTCTTGGATCTTAAAGTTTTTAAATATATACAAGGTATCAATATAGAAAACAAGACTTCAACTCAATCATATAAATGGAGTCTATAAGTCTGGTGAAATAAACATCAACAGAGATATCCCTAATAGCAGCAAACTTAAGAGGGTGGAATATGACTGTAAGATATCTCAAAAAAAATATGCCATCTATTTTACATGAATGACTTAAAGCTGTATGCTTGGAATGATAGTGAGCTGAAAGTTCTCCTGAAAACAGTAAAATGTTTCAGTGATAACACTGGAATGGAATTCAATTTGGATAAATGTGCTAAAGCCACGATTTTACAAGAATCACTACAAAAACCTCCTCTATTAGCTTAGACTCTGGGGGTAATAATCAAAGATTTAGAGTAAGAAGAAGCTTATAAGTACTTTGGTGTAAATGAAAGTGAAGGTATTCACCATAAAAAATAAAAGAAATAGTATGAAAAGAGTACTATAGAAAAGTGCTACTGATATTAAAAACTGAATTGAATTCTCAGAATTATGGCCATTAATAATCTTGCCATCCCAGTGGTTTAATATAATTTCAACATCTTGAACTGAACTCTAAATGATATCATACGAATGGATTCTCGGACATGAAAGCTTCTTTCTAAGCATAACATATGTCATCCAAAGGCTGATGCAGACCATCTATACATACCCTGTAAAGAAAGTGGAAGAGGTCTTATTCAGCTAGAATTGTCATACAAAACAACTACTGGCTTACTAATATACATGGAAACAACAAAGGAGTGGATGATACAATTAGTCAAAGAATATGAAAACAGAAAAAATATTCAATCATGAAAGATGGCTGTAAATACAAACAATATTTACATTTAGTAGATTCTGTAGAAAACCAAAACAAAAGAACCAAATATTGCAGCAAAAATTATGAAAAAGAAAGACAAGGATAAAGCTCTTGAACAGATGAAACAATGCTGGCAAGACAAACCTCTGCACGGCCAATATCCAGAATGTGCTTTAATAAAGCTGATATTGATAAAGTTAATACACATTGATGGTTATGAGCATCTGGATTAAAGGCTGAAACGGAAGGTTTTTTTTCATGTAGTGCAAGACCAGAATCTTTTCACTACAAACTTTGAGGTAAATCTCATACATAATAGTATGGAGCCAAATATCAGGAAACCATAGACCATCTAATCTCAGGATGTTCTGTACTTTTGCCAAATGAATATAAAAATTGTCACGATAGAGTGGGTAATAGTTACACTGGACAATGTGTAAATACTTTAGAAAAGATGTTAAGAGACATTGATATGAACATCACCCAGCACCAGTTACAGAAATAGAAGACATCACAATTTTACAGGATGACATCATCTTTACAGTGTAGACGATTGAAGCAAATAGGCCAGACATAATTGCCAAAAAACGAAAAGAAAAAACTTGCCTACTAATTGATATATCTTGCCCAGTGGACTGTAACATAGCAACCAAAGAATTTGAAAAACTATCAAAGTACAAAAATCTAGAAATTGAAATAGGAAAAAAGTGGAAATTGAAAACAAGAATAGTACCAGTCATGGTAGGTGCACTTGAAATGATAAAAAATGGAACACAACAAAACATTCCTGAATATCCCAGATTAAGAGAAATACAAAAAACTGTCTTGATAAGTACAGCCCACACACTAAGAACTTTGTCCATGTAATGCTAATGATATTATGGGAGTTAGGAAAACAAATCACGAAATTTAGTCATAACAACACACCACTACCAGCTGTAGGTCTTTTTGCAGACTTGGTGGGTAGTGTGACCATAGCAGAAATCGAAATATGATGAATATTAAAAAATTCAACAAATGTTTTTGAACAGCAAACCTTATATTCTGATTTTTCACATGTTTAAATAATATAACAAAGTTTTTAAAAAAATCAAATTAAACAATTTTTTTTCTTATTTAGGTATTTACATAAACATTTATCATCTATATTTGACTAATTTGTAGCATTGAGAAATGTCAGATGATGATAATGCTTATTATGAATTATATAGGTTTAATAATGCTTATTATGAATTATATAGGTTTAATAATGCTTATTATGAATTATATAGGTTTAATAATGCTTATTATGAATTATATAGGTTTAATAATGCTTATTATGAATTATATAGGTTTAATAATGCTTATTATGAATTATATAGGTTTAATAATGCTTATTATGAATTATATAGGTTTAATAATGCTTATTATGAATTATATAGGTTTAATAATGCTTATTATGAATTATATATAGGTTTAATAATGCTTATTATGAATTATATAGGTTTAATAATGCTTATTATGAATTATATAGGTTTAATAATGCTTATTATGAATTACATAGGTTTTCTAGCTTAAAAATCAATTTTGACAAGGCAGATATAAATTCTTTCTATACAAAGAGTATGAATTAAAAAACAAGTTTATTAACAGAAATATTGCTTATAAATTGCAATTTTTAAAATTTGATTTAAAAATACAGATGATATATTAAAATATGGATTTAAATTCATATTTTAATATTTCATCTGAATTTTTGCCATACAAATTTGATATTACTGCTTAGGCTGTCAATGCCATTTGTTTGTAGTATATATAAAAACACTTATTACATTCATTATATGCAAGTTGAAGGCACTTGCCATGGTGCAATGGTTAGCAAGATTGTCTCACTAAATCAAATATGTCTGAATAGTGAACTCAATCCTCACTGGTTGCCCCATACTTTTGGCCTTGTGCCACGTCTAAGTTACACTTAGAAAATCACAATTATATGCTGGATTATTAAGTTCAACTGATGACACATAGACAAAAGTTTGCCTTAGACAAATTTATAAGACAAACTTAAAAATACAAAAATAATCAATTATGGAGTTTTAAAATCTAATTAACTTGCGCTCTCAAAGAGGCTATTTGCTTTAAATGTCAGTTGGGACACAAGATCGCCCCAGACCATAAGTGAAACTCATACAATACATTGCTAAAGATGGTCCCAGTTCCTTGTACTATGCCAGAAAGTACCCAACTCCTGTTGCTATGTTCCATCTTTACAAGAGACAGATTAGACCAAAAATGGTTTACTGCTGCCATATCTGGGCCAGAGCTGCTCAATCATCTCTTTCCAGCCTGTACAGAATTTAAAATAATCACAAAGCCTTGTGGGTGATGATTTATTTTCCATTCAATAATCCCTTTACCTTTCGGGTGTGTCAGCATCATAAGTATATCTCTACTGTTTGGTTCATCAATGACAAATTTTTCTTTGGGTCATCAGCTCAGACCTTTACAACCAAAAGATCCCCCCCCCTTGCTATGTCCACAGGGGTTGAATCACTGTCATTCAGCAGACATTCCTTTGTTAAGAAGGGCATTCAGCTCAAAAAACTTTCTTCCTCCTGCATAGATGCTTTCCTCAATATTACAACCACACCCTCTTCAAGTCTTGGGTCAACCATTATCTATCTGCTATACCGTCATAATCTTCACTTCCTACTTGATCTTCTTATATTAATATCACACACCACATTCTCTTGAGCTTCCGACCATATCACGTTGAGCACCAGTTTCTATATAATCACTAAAGTTAAGCTACATCGAGCCTGGTCAGTACGTATTCCCTACTTAGAAATACCAGGTATTGTAAGCATGGATATGCAGGTGGTGTAATGGATAATGGCTTGGAATTGGTAATTGGAGAGCTGTGTTCCGATTCCAGTTGGGTTTGTTATATTCACTTATGTACACATACCATTACTACTTCCTCCTCTTACATTCATATCACACATCTTATTCAGTAATTCTCTGTCTTGAGTGGCTCTCGGTCCTTGTATATGCTGGAAAGCATTTTAGAAATTGTAAACAAGGGAAATATCATCTAAGTCTAAACTTGTTCATCAGTTTCATATTGAATGCAATGGAAAAATCAAAATCCTGGCTGAAAATGGTACCTTAAAATATATAGACTTAAAAAGGGAATGAGAAATTTTATTTAAAAATCAAAACAAGAAATAAGATACTTGGTGATGTTTGACACTGTATCCAAAATTGGAACTGTACATTTGATATTTTTTGTCCTATTAAATATGATTCTAATTAAAGAAGAGAAAGAAAAATTCAAAGAAGAATTTTTTTTTAAATTTCAAAAAGAAAGAAAAAAGAATGAAGATAACAACAAATAGAAAGAAATTAAAGTTAGAAATAAGAAAGTGTGAAGGAATAAAAATAGAAAAAGAAATTTAAAAATAAAGAAATAAAGGTGAAGAAAAACGAAAGAGAAAATAGTAAAGCAAGAATGAGTGAAAAGAAAAAGAAAATTATAAAAGAAACAAAAAGAAAAGGAGGGAAAAAAAATGAAAAAAAGATATAAATAAAAAAGAAATGAAAAATGAAAGGGAAGAAGAAAAATGAAAAAAAAA